CTGCTTAATTGCATATTCACATAGAACCTTAAAGTATGAAAAACCCATTGAAATCTTCTGCAATCAATGATTTCCTTTGTGAGGTGAAATACTGAAGTGTTTATATAGGCTTTCTACCATGAGCTATACAGAAACAGAAAACAAATATCAACTGAGAGTTTTCCTCTTATATACAATGTGCATTTGCAAGAGATCATCACAATGTCTTTAATGTGTACAAAATTTAGCGCATTTCAGCATTTTATCTAGAAATTGAAAAACACAGTGTAAACATTTTTTGGGCACTCCTGAATCTTGTGTTTCTTCAGTGGTCTGAAATACTTGTTTCCCAATCCTGAAAAACACATACGTTGTTTTCCTACAGAAACAAAAAAGCTATCGGGGTACAAACTGAATAATAGTAAAAACCAAAATATAAAATAGAATACATGATTTTTTTTAAACATTCAGTTGCAACATGTGTTAGGAAACATTCCTTTTTATCTTTTTGCTGGTCCCACTGCAATCCACTAGATCTTACCAAGACCTTGAACCTGCAAATATATATGCATTTCAGTAGCTGTAATTACAGACTTCAGCTGTTCTGATCCACATCCATTCACCTACACATGTGTTTGCTACACCAAGCCCGAGAAGGGCTGCACTGGTGGTTAGCGAAGTGCTGCTTTGCAGAGCAGCAGATATAAGCCATTGTGCTCACAAGGCAATTTTTCTTGTTTTACTGAAACTTGTCCCCAGTGCTTCCTACTGTCCATTTACTGCTTATGAAGGGTGCAGCACGCTATGGATTTTACTTCAGACAGTGCCTTCACCTTGCCTGTGCGCAAGTGCAGTGGGCTGCAGGGATTGTTAGTTACCCAGGCCGTGTTGTTGGCGATGAACCCCAAGTAGCTCCAAAGCCCAGCAGAGAGCAGGAGCCACTACTATGCCCGGCACCCAACATCACACTGGTAAAAGAGAAGGTTAAGATAAGCAAGGTGCAGCATAACCACAAAAACTAGGATTCAGCATACGATGTTAGAGCTGCGGCACATCGGATGCAGCGAGGCCATGCCGAGCTTTCTCTCACTTGCACCGCAGCAGCCATTCACCCCTCTGACATTGGATTTTAAGTACCAGCTGGCACATGGCATCTTCCTGGTCGGCTCTGCTGCCACCTGCTGGCAGGACCACCTCCCAGTCGGGAACCACACGGGCAGCCACCAAGTGGGCCTACAACACCCAGCCACACCACCCTGCAGTGACATCACAATGAGTGCACAGCACTACAGCGCACCTTGAACCTGGGCAGGAAACCACGGTGCCAGTAGAAAGCAGGGGCCTGGGGCAGGGGCCATGGGGGTGCCCTAGGGCTGCAGGCAGCCCTTACCCCACACCAGTAGCTCCTGCTCAACAATTCTTTGGAGCCCTGAGCCTGGCCAGAGGCTGGAAAGCATTGAGGACGAGTACATAGGGCTAGCTCCTAGCTGGAGGTAGTGCACAGGCATGAAAAGCCTGGTGTGTTCTTTTTTTTCCAGAGCTTAAAGATACTAAGGAAACATGATACAGTGGGAGTATGATAGAAAAATGTGGGAGGGAGTATTTGTCACAAGTTGTTAATCATTTGTGTACTTAGGAAGAGCTACAAATTACAAAGGGCAAGTGATGTGCATGTTCAGATGGCAGCCTGCACTTTGCTTTCCAGCTGCTGTGTTCCATGGAAAGCAGTACTGCTGGTTAATCCAAGTTTTACCTTAAGCAGTCACGCAGGAGGGGAGGAGGGTATGAGCAACACCCTCAAAACACAGTGAAGTTGTTCTGCTGCACCATGCAGCATGTTCCTCTATACTGGAGAGAAAGAGGAGTAGCAGAGATCATATGAAGTGAGATGGAAAAAAAAACTTACTCATGAAAGAATAAGCTTAAGCTTCAAAATGAGTGCACAGCTATCCTTGCCATAACAGTTTTTGTCTAGTTTCAAGCACCAAAACTGTGCTACAAAAACTTCAGCATAACAGAAAATCTGCACAGATCACCCATTGGAACAGTCTTTACCAGCTGCACACAAACTTAGAAATGACAGAATTCGTGCTTTTCCTTAGTTGCATTTATTGTGCACGAACTTCACAGTCACATTTTACTGCTTTTCATAGAATTTTTATAAATTGATATACACAATCACATCAAAACTTGATTTCTAAAACCAAAATAATTTGTATTCTTCACATGATACTATAAAATCCTGGATGCATTTTCAAGAAACAACAGTTAAGGAGAACAAGTTTAATGTTGGATAGCAGCAAACCCCCCAATATTTATTTTTTCCTTTAAATGAAACAAGCCCCATGTTTGTCGCACACTAAACAGTTCAGTTATTTCTAAAGTTGTGCCCTAGGACTAAAGTAGGATGGATTCTTTTTTTTTTTTTTATATTCAACTACAATACCACTCCTCATGAGCGCCTTCTTCCCAGTTTTAATTAGTGGTTACCCTGTCTCCCCACAGAGGTATTGGCTTCTAAAATAATTCTCAGTCTACACTGGTAGACAAATTTACAGAACAGAAAGGTTCTTTTATCAGCCTTCCCAATAAATCCATGAAATAGAACCAAAAAATTCTTGCTTTTCCAACTTCTAGACCTTTCTGTCTTCTGCTGCTTTTCACTTCCCCACATACACCATTTTAGCTTTTTAATCAAGGTGCTGACATTTTTTGAAGAGTCAAAGTAACGAACAAGGATGCGTGTAGCCGATACATCTTTAACAGAATCTTTAAGCCCATTCAACACTAGTTACTAGGTCAATGAAAAAAGCTTATTCAAGTATTTTTGTATTACATTAGTTCAGTTGGCAGAGTAGGAATCTTGTGATTATTAGCTGACACAGACTCTTAATAACAGGAAAGTTATCAGCCCTGAGGGTCCCTCTTATAGATTTTAAAGTCAGAATTCTGAACAACTGCACACATTGTTTTTCATAACCCTGTTTGTACCACACTTATGTGATATTTGCCATTCTAGGGCATCCACTGCTTTTTTGTAAATCCTAAATTGGATGCTAAATTCTGGCACAAGCAACAGTTTCATTCCTTTTCTTGACAAAGGAGAAATAGAGACAGATCTAGAAAGCAAGTATCTACTTTGTATAGGATTACTGAAGTATACTACCTCTAACACTGAAGTAATGGGACTCAGCGACAGAACACATCTAGTCTCAGCTTCAGCACTAGAAACTGAAATGATACTTTTTTCCTCTAGAAAAACGTGACTTTGCAAAGGGTATCTTAGAAATATAAAATACTTTGGTAGTTTGAAGCTTAAAGGTTACAGCAGTACAAAATAGCAACAACTGAACAAAGTTAAATCATTACCTCAGGTCCATCTTTAACCTATTAGAAATTAAAAATCCTTGAAGCTCCAGAACTTTTTTCAGAACTGGTGATTTTGAGAGCCAGAGCATCCAGCTGAAACAGGTTTATAGAGTATGCAGAGCTCATCCTTCCAACGTAACTTCTATTTCAAAATGTGAAAGATGATTGAAGAGTCATGTGTACAAGTCACATTACCTTATGTTCCCTCCAGTGCTCCAGCAGCAGTTTTCCAAATGCTGTTAAGTTTTGATTTGCTGAGATGTTAGTGCCAATAGTCTCTTGCTGAGCAGTGCATTGTGTCGCTGAAGATATTCTATTACATCTCCTTGCTTCTCAACTATCTCTTCTAAACTTGAATTTTCCCTTGAAATAACAGAAGTGAATGTAGGATTCAGTAAGTGACAGCAGCTAACACATGAAGCATCGGAGACAATTAACAAATACTTAAACAAGTTGCTTCCTTCAGTTCTACTTTTGTTGATCTCAACTAACTTTTGAGGGAGGAGGCAATCTACAACACCTTTAGGTTTAACCTCTATTTTGCATGAGAAAGCAGGAAGACAAAAGTCTGGCTTAGGCTTCATGCCATGTACACATAATAGTTACATATTTCCTGCTAGACAGTTACAAAAAAGTTGTAGTAGTACAAGGGTTCTTACTGTTTAACAAACTTAAAGTTAGTGAGCCAGACAACATGCTAATAGATCTGTGACACCTTTTCCAAATACATTAGGAAGCTTATTTTAAGGAGGCATGGTATTTTTATTCAGCTGTGGGGATCATAAGCTGTTTAAGACAGAAATTGCTTGATTAACCTGAAATAACATACATAATGTACTACTACATACAGTGATACTATGTCACAATAGCATTAACAGCATCAGCACCGAACAGTTGTGCTATTCCAGATCTACCTCACATACAGCTAACTTCCCACTTCAAATATCTCCAGGTTTCAGGCATCCTTCATTTTAATTAGGTTAGTACCACTGCAACACTAAGTAAAGCCAAGTTAATTGACAAAAATCTGTAGAAATACAGAATTGTCAAATCTATAATTAGGAGCTTTTAAGAACAGAGAAAGAACAGATACCAATGCCTGAGCATATTCCAGTCTTCCCTTACACATTTCTTCCTAGCTGATTTGGGAATCTGCCCTCTTGGTACACACGTGAGCATCTTGGAGCTTAGAAAGTTGCTCCTCAGCCTTGCAGCATTTTGTGGAGGACATTGCCCCTTCTATAGTTCTTAGAAAGTGCTGAGGAGGACAGCTGGAGTGGAAAAAAGCCTAGGTCTAATTAAAAACCTACTGTAGCTAAGCTGGAAAAAATGAGAACAGGTCTGAGACAGAAAGCTTGCAACCTTAACCAGTAATCTGCACTACCAGCTTAAAGCACCAGAAGAGGTCCTGATCAGTAGCTTAGGTTGTAGGGGTCATAATATTCAAAAAACATTCCTATAACCAGGGTCAACTGAAGGGCTGACAGGATTCACTTTTCAATAGACCTTAACTCTCAAAGGAAAGAGCGTCAGAGTTGTATAGAGATGAATTGAAATAACTGTTTTGCAATCAGTTCTCAGAGGAAGTTTGCACTCTAATAAAAAATAATCAGAGTCTTTTCCTCAGCTGGTCATTGTTGCAGACTCATTCTCTGGGCATTTCATAATTTCTCAGGGGACAAGCTGAATGAGAAAGGAACGAAGTCCACCATGCATTCATCATGGTGTTTATATCAAGATGGAAGTCAGATATTGTATCAAAATTCAAGACCACTCTAAATCCTTCCTGTATCCTGGACATCTACTTCCAAGTTCCATAAAAGCATGTGCATTTGTGACACCAGGGGAAGTGCCAAAGTATTAGTCATCTCTGCATTTCAACTTTTTACTAAGGTACACATACAGAAGCAAGTCATACTGTATTAGACACTTCTTAGTAAATTCTTACATGCAATTCCATGTTACTTTTGATGATTGATTTTTGTTAAGTCATACCAGAGGTATTTCAGCAACTGGAAGATGTTCAAGCAGTCAGAAGGTACACAAGGGAGGTACACAAGGGATAAACAAGCAATGAGTCTCAGTGCTTGTGAAGTTAATGTTGGATAGCTTCTCTGTCTCCCTGCGAACCTACTTACCTCTTCAGTGCCCCACCCACCTTTAAAGTTCCTTCCCAAACTAGAAATATATTCCAAATCCCTTGCTAGAATCTCATGTCCAACTGCTGACACAGAACACAGCTGCAAAGTTTTCTTCTTCATCTATCAACTGCCCATAGTATATTTCCTTGCCTGAAACTGGTTGAAGAAGCTAGGCTTCTGTAGGCATACTTTAAGTAACAGTTTAAGACACCAATATCTCTCCTCAAACTCCCACATCAAGCCAATTAACACACATTAAGCATGGTTATTTATAGGACATTAAAGATTCATGCAACCAGCCATACATGGTCAAATCATTCCTGTCCTCATGTTTGAGGATTTCTGTATCATAACAAGTTGCCATTACTACATAGAAAGTACAAGATTGTGCTACTCATCTATGCATGTAAAATAGCAGCCTTAGGCATATAGTTTCCTTCAAAACTATTATTCCCACCTCTGCTTTGGTTGAAAGTTTTAAGATTATATGTAAATCTACAGAAAGTAATGCAATTGCATTAGTACATGTTACCTATATACCACAGCTGAACACAGCACAAGTTAGTACAGAAACTCTTACCTGAATCCAATTTCTGAGGTAATGTGACTAGGGTAGGCATACATCTTTTCTTCTTCAATTATGTCAGGTCTTGGCTTCGCATGATTGAAGTTGCTTATTTTCACTGCAACAAAGTTTTATAAAGTAGTTGGAAAGCAACCAAAAAAAAAGAAAAGCCTTATCACCAGCCTCCAAGGTAAAAACAAAAAATCTGTAAGAGATGATTATAAGATTGCCTTAAGATAAGAGATAGAAAGATAAGGGAATCTGGGGAGTCAGGAAGAAGTAAAGAAAAAGGAGAATCTCTCTGCTCATTTCTGGAATGGCATTGATTATAAGTTAGTGGTAGGGGTTTTTTGTTTGGATTAGTGGGGTTTTTTTCAGCCTTGCTTCTTAAAAGACCACAGTGAAGTGAAGACCTGAAGGGGGAAGCTTGATCATAGTGCTCAACATCTGCAAAGTCCAGTCTGTCACCTAAGAAAGGGGGAAACCTTAGCTGCCTTTGAGAGGGTACCAAGATTCAGTCTCCAAATTCAGGCCATAAATTAAGCAACATGCCATAAGTAGTTGTAAAAAATTGATACTAGTATCTAGGTCAGAACTTCTAACTTAAACTCTTTGATAAATGCTATTTTAACTAGACTACCCACAGTGCAGCAGCAACTTGTCTGCCTACTCTAGAACTGGGGCAGACTTGCTACAGAAATCCACTAAGTATTCAAACCAGAGTGGCTCTGTGATCACATTGTGAACTTTGCAATGTTGGCTGTTAAAACCAGAAGTCATTCCTGGGCACCTGTGAATAAAGTTTAAGATTTAAATTTAAACAGATATGGAATGGGGATGGTAGGGGTGGGAAAAGCTGTAAGCACCCTCTGCATTATTTCTAGAAGGAAGCTGAAAATATTTGAAGGTATTCAATGTCAGATCCTGATTCAAGGAATGTACCTAGATATTTGGAGTATGCATTCTGGACTCTGCAGTTAGGGCTGCTTGTGAAGCAATACATCTAATGCCACTAAAAACATTAGAGTCTGGCTCCATGAGAAATTCACACTACTGCAGCAGAGAAAGACTGTCCTTACTAGTCAATAACATGATGGGGTTTATTACAGGCCACCCTGCTAAAACAATGCTAAGACCCTCCAGAGGTTAACTACAAGTTAGGCTCAAAGCTTAGTTATTTTTATGATGGTATTCCTCTACAAATAAAGCCACAAAGGAATGAATGTGGAATTCCCAACATGAATTGTTTGTGGGAATGTTAGGGGGTTTTATTCAAGTGATATTAGGAGTAAGAATATCATTAAATACATACATTTAGTAAACCTGTTAAAGCTTGCCTCCCTATCCTATCAATAACTTACAATAGTAAGCTGACATTTAGAGCTGTCTATCATACTTCATTCCATGCACATTTACCTCACTTGAATGCTTTGTGTGCATTTGTGTGTCTGTTCTAGGTCAATCACAGCAATTCCTTGTAGACTTATGAACCCTGCCTCCGCATCCTACAGCTATATATACACACACACACTGCTGAATGGAGATTTCTAAGAGAGACAGTAGTACTTCACAGCACATTATGCATAATAATACATAAAATGGCTCCAACAAGCAAGAAATATCTAGAATTACAACCAGGTATTCCATGCCACCACTTCCATTTGTGAGGCAATAATATTTAAATGAAAATAAGTCAGGCACATGAACCTTCTACAGGTAAGCATTTATACCTCATTCTAGTAGTTAAAAAATAATAATTCCACAGTGGAGAAACAATGTATGAACAAGGCCTACCTTCCCTCCAGAATTTAGGAGGGATATACTAACACAAGAAAGGGGCCAATCATGAGTTGTTAGTATAAAGTGACCTTAATCTCCTCATTGTTGCTCAGCTACATTAGCTGATGCTATCTTAACAGTAAGTGGTATCTGGCAAGCACCTGCCTTGGAGAGGAGCACTTTAACCCTGAGCAGAGGACTACCCTTAAAATTATCCTCCTAAGGAAGCTCCATGCTTCCAGTCACAGTCTAGTCTGAGGAAAAAAAAATTATCTAAGTGTCACTAATTACTACAGATTCTCAGGCTATTTTCAGAACTGGCCAAATACAATTGTTTTGCTTCAGTAGAGCTTTAGTTTGATGCTTATGAAGTTTAAAACCCTGAACCACCCCCACCACAACACGACACAGACAGGCAATTTCTTAGCTTACCTCAACACATATTGGGATGGAAAACAGGAAAACAAGTTACACTACTCACTGGAAAAGGCAACCTAAGGTGACTGGAGGTCTTCCCCATCTTGAGACAAGTGTTAAGTTACATAAAAATTAACCCTGGTTTTGCAAAGCAAGCTTTAGAGAATGAAGACTGTTGTTTCGGGGCTGCTAAGGAAATAAGGTAGCTGTTGTCAAAAGAGACTGCCTTACTCCTTCCTAGCAATGCAGCTCTGTCCCTCCTTCACCTTGGTTCCAGGACTCACTGGACCCTTCTTCAAGCCTCCTTCAGCTGGAAAGCAAAACATTGCAGCCCAAAACTTCCTAGTGTGCGTTAGTTAATGGATTTGGTGGACACAGGAACTGGGACAGTACAAGCTAGGAAACAGACCCATTTGGTGACAAGTAAGCAGAAAAGAAGTTAAAAGAAGTTTGAGAACTCTTATGGAAGTCCAGGCTCAGATCTTACCACTATGAAGGTCAACTTTCATTGCAGTTGCTTATCCTTTTCTGCCAGGCTGAGACACAGAATGTAGCTCTTTGAGCTCTATGAGGCCTCAGGGTAAGGAATAACATTTCACTGGAATTCCTGACATTCTACTAAAGTTTTGCAATTTATCTCTTATTTCCTGAGTTTCCCAGGAAAGTAAGTATGAGTATGCAAAGAAGCAATGATCTCCAGCATTCTTGAAATAGTTCTCTATGACTGCCATGCTTGTGTTCCTTCATCATTGCCTTTATTCCTCCAGAGGACAGTTAGTCTACTTGAGCCATGCTAGTTCATTCAGGGGAAAGCCTGACAAGCCTGCAGCATACAAGTGCGCAGGGGCCTGAAAGAGGAGGTAGTTTGGAGTAAGGACCTTACTTCTTGGTGCATTTTGATTTCAATGTTGTTGCAGGAGAATCAAGAACAGTTTTTATTTCCTAGATTACCAGGCTACTTGGTAGTATTTCACTGTGTGTCATTACAGTACTAAAAACATACCAAAGTTTTCTTCTCAAGAAAAGACATTCTAGATTAATTATTGATTATGAAATCACAAAAGTCAGATTAACACAAATACTGACCACCACAGAAATGGCTTTTACTTTAACTTAAGCTTCACGCAGTCCTGAAGGAAGCATTTCCAGTCATTCTTCCTGTTTGATTAGAAGTCAGGAGCAAACTATTAGTTTTACCCATTTTTTTCCTCCCAGAGAAACCAGTGATACTGAGGCTACTTAGCTAAAGTGTCATCTCCTTGTTTGTATCTGTAAATAATCCGAAATCAGCATCTCAGGAGCAGGAATAAAAACTAACTCAACAGCAGGAACTACATGTCATTTAAATAGACATGGAGCTCACAGTAAACATCTCTAGTTTTCTTCAAACAAAAAATAGTCACATTTTTTAGTATCTTGTACCTTTTAGTGTTTTGGTTTTTTTTTTTAACCCAGTTATTTTCATTTGAGTTTGTGCAAGCCATAAACCCAAACAGTTTAAGATGAGATTAAACTATTTGGTTCAAGCATTTATTAATCAACATTTTAGATAATCCTGCAATAGTTTAATGGAAAGAGGTTTATCAAGTCTTGATAAGTTACACCAAAAAGCAGATAACCTTACAAGCCAACAGTGACAGTAAAAAGCAATGCCTCACAGCTTTATGATGCAGTACCTTATTTTAGTATTAGCAGAGATTGCAAAAGCCACAATTTTTTTTTAACATTCATTAGAGGTAACCTTACAGAGTAAGGCACATCACACTATCAGCTATGCAAGTCCCATATGTAAATCCCAGAAGCAGTTCTGATAAAGCCAACTAGCTCTTACTGCTTCACAGTTTGTGGTGCACATATTTGAAAACACTGCTAAACAGGCAACCCTGTTCACAAGACACTTCTGCAACAATAATGCATTTATCACCACTTCACTGTATCAACAGTTTTAATGTGGAGCTTCCATTTAGCAGCACTTGGAGACCAAATCAAGCCTGACAGCCTTACTTTGGAATTGCTTTAGTTCTCCTTCTACAAGCACAGAATCATTCTGTGTTTATAGTTGCAGTCAAATGTCTTGGGGTACACCAAGTGAGCTACTGCAAGGGCAAACAAAACAGTTGAGTAGCAGCTATAACAAGTCTCACTCAAGAAGGCAAAAGTTGCCTCTCACCTGTGTAAATCACTAGGCATGTCAGGGAGCTAATCAGCTCCAGACCCAGGACTCCCAGGATAAGGTACAGGTACACTTTACTGTGATCAGGAAAGGAATGCTGCATTGACAGAATCAAAAGCAGGGATGCATTACCTAGAAAACAAATGATATTTTACAGGTGTAACAATTTCATTAGCTGTTGAAAACAACTTAGTACTCTGTCATCCCCAGTATCTGCATTAGGCTGCAAGATTTACAGTAATACTTTTCTATTTCATACCATACTTGCCTCTTTGGCTCATCTCCTTACACAGGTGATGTAAGCTGACAACAGCTGGCAGCAAAATGAGGTTTCATCATTTGATTGTAATTGTAGAGTTATGAGTTTTCTTACAGATTTTTCTGACTTAAACAAGAATAGAAGAAATGCACTAGAAATACCTAGTCTACACATGAGGGCTTAAACAGTTTCTAGCTGCTGAACTGTCAGGATGGAAGTGGTATCAGCAGCAATTAGCATGGCAGGGAATTTGCAGTTATGGAGCTAACCACAAATTCTTTACATCAAGAGTCCACAACACACAACTGATTGCACCTGAACACGTACACATGCCTGAAATTTGTCTGGTAAGGGAGAAGTGGGCTTCAATTAAGACTGAAAACAGGGCTAAGTATTCCAGATCACATTGCAATAGGCAGAAATAGTCCTTTTACTCTTCTGAAACATCCTTAAGCCTGCTGTAGCCTTATTTTGTCACTGCATTCCAAACACATCTTCAGAGCTCTACCTAGTGGTCAGAGCCTGAAGTTCTACACTCTCAAGCTGACCAGCTCTTTTAGTGACTGGGCAGAAAGACAGCTAGGTTATATATAAGTAGTACCATCAAAGTTACCAGTTCTGGTGAAAAAAATTCTACTCCAGTTATCCAGAAGACTTACAGAAGGGAGGTGGGATTATAAGAGGCAAAACCCCCCTGTAAAAGCCACTACTGTTTGTTCCCCTTTCCTCTGCTATTTCTGTGTGAAAAATCCCCTCAAGTTAAATGGATTTTAGATTTGTTGAAGTAGTTTATTAGAAAAGCTACACCAGCTAATTGTACCAACACTTCTTTCAGCTTCACTAGCCAGGGATGTAACTTAAGGTATATAGGGTTAAACCACTCCCATACACCACCCTTTGTCCTTAGAAAGTAGAAAAAGGCAGTCAGAAGTGGAGCTGAATGTTACACACAGTCCCACTGGAGATTAAAAAAAAGAAATCACTTATTTTACTGATTTCAGACAGCTGTTGAGCAACAGGCAATTCATATGTTCCTACTTGAACTGCTGAGCTTGACAAGAAAAGAGTAGCACATTTCTTGGAAGGACCAGTGGTCTTGCTGCATATCCTCCTAGACAAACAAGCATGCAAACCCAGATCCCTAGCAGCCAAATACAGACCTTGCTGGCTGAACATTTTATGGCTGAAGACTAGATGTGGATGAGCATGTTTTACTCAACTTTACACTTCTGGGCATTTTTTCACTCCAAAGAGTTCTTTACAACATGTATCTGGCAGGCCAGAAAGGTCAGTCAGGAGGTCCATGTGACTAAAATAAATAGTATTTATAAATGCTCATAGGCAGGTTTTTAGAAGTTTATACATAAATGTGTAGTATATATTATGAACTGTTCAGTCTTTCATTGCATCACAGTTCAAAGCTTTAGAAGAAAAAAAGCAGGAAAACAAGTTCACTTCACCTGTGGAGTGTATCAACAGTGGAAGTCTTTTTAGATGTCTTGTTGATCGGTATATCGAGAAGTAACCTCTGCTCCTGACTTTACTGTGGTGGTGCTGGATGTATCGTTCAAAAACAACATGCAGAGTCCACAGGATTACTTTTGCAACAATTATGACAGTCTGCACTTTAAGTGGGTGAGTATAGTTTCCAGGGCATTTATCCTGATTTGGGTTGGGGTAAGAACAAAACATAGCTGCTAAAAATGCTAGAACAACAAAAGCAACCTGGAAGAGAAAGGAAGAAAGGGGAAAACTCAGTCACCATTTAACAATATAAAAAAAGACAGCCTTATGCAATACTTTATGAAATTGTTTTATTGGAGTTGAGAAAACATATAAAGCATTAGACACTTACTACAACCACTACATGTCATTCTGTGAACATACTGATGACTGAAATTACTAAACAGTAAGCCTGGCTTCCAGGAGGACAACCAGTTTCCAGCTGAACAGAGCTGAGAATCACCACTCTTCCCAGAATTTTCTCTAAATTTATTTCACTGTCCTGAGTCTCCCCTTTGTAGTGATTTTACTTATTGCTGGACCTTTTTTACTTCATCTTTTTACTTTAAAAGGGAACTTGATTTATACTACCTCAAAATAAAAAAAAAAATAAATCACATCTTTAGACTCATTCAATCACACTTGCTACTGCTCTGCAGGAAAGCCTCATGTCTTATTGGTACAGTCTACATTTCTTGAAATTGATATTTCACAAGTGAAAGTCAACCCTTTTCTACAGGCACTAAAAATAATCCACAGATTTTGACATTAGAAAAAAGTGAAACACCATCATAGTAACCTACAAATTATTAACACTTAGGTAGGCATCTTTGCCAGCTCATAAATATACTAAGGAATGATTACCATCAGATTTTTCCATTTTGCTCAGAACAACCAGACTATAATCAGTCAGATTGTATACACATTTGTACTTTCAGATTAGTGCCATTATGCCATAACTTTTCCTGTTTTCTAGACTTTTCTCCAAATTTTCATCATCAGTGAGCATCAGCAAACTTTTGGCCAACTAGAAGGCAGAGTCTTGGGCACACATTATCTGGGGTATATACACACACAGAGCTTTTTTAGATCTTTATAGAATGTTTTTGTCATAGAAAATACTTTCTCTACTGTTTTCATTCAGTGAACAAGAAGATATGGTACTTCCTCATCCTGGTTCATTCTACAGAATAGGAATATTTTAAAAGAGAACTGGAAACAAAAAACAACTCCCACCAATACAGAAGTAAATTGAGAGCTTCCATATACAATAAAAAAAAAAATCAATTTGCCTCAAGTCTGCAGAAGTACAATATCTCTAATATACTTAAGTGTCCCATGCTCTGCATTCTCATAACTGATAGAAATACATCAGAACTGAGGATGGAGGGTGGAGGCAAGTATCTGATCTTCTTTTGTGTCAATTGTTTCCATGCTTAATTCTATGGACATCAAAGAGCCCACCACCCCCTTGAACTTATTTTTCAAATAACCTTAATCTTTCAGAACCACTTTACTCTTGATATGAACTGCCCTTAGCTTGCTCTGGTTGTAAATAGTTAGGTAACTGGAGGGAGGAAGAAGGGGGAATAACTCTCACAATTATGAATACCCCAAACGAGACATTATAGAGGACAGACAGGGTAGAAAGTAGGAGAAAGGAAGTGCATTCTATACTACCCATAAAGCCATTACTTCAAATGCAAATTAAATCCCAAATTATCTTGAGACAGGTTAATTAGATAGATTGAGAAGTGAAATAAGAGGGAGGGTTATAAACAAAACATTTGTTGAATCTATTATTTTACCACCTCAATCTCTTACAAAGCTAAGGATAATCCAGCTAAGGCATATTTTACTTGGTCAATTTACTGTTCAGCTTGCCATTTTAAAGCAGTAACACATCTAGTTCTACTCCCTCCAGGTGTTAGGAACATATTTCAGTTCAGCGAACGGCTATATTAAACTGAAAAACAGGAATGGCCTAGCATGGCAGCTCTACTAATCTCCTACAGCAGTGTATACAAGAGGAAGGAGGTAGCTGGCATTAAGGGTGACATTTATTAAAGTTGTTTTGCTTACATTTTAGGGTAGTCCAACAACAATCACTTCACCCCACTACAGGGGATTTTTATATATGAAGTTATTCTTGGAATAGTATTTAAATTCAGTTTTGTGTATGGAAATACACAGAGGGCATTAAGGAAAGACAGGGTTAATTAAATTATTTCTAGCCTGTACAGTTTACACTGCTCTCCTGAGTCTTCAGATAGGAGCCAGAAGCTTGCAGAAAAGCAAGAGATGGCAAAATGAAAGCCACTCAGAAACCCAGCCCCACCACACTCCAGCTTGTCCTACCCACACACTCCAGAATTGCATGTAACTAGGCAGCTGCACTGAAGCAGCTATTTGCTGCCTAACTGTTTCTTGGCACAGGAAGGTGGAGAAGAAATACTCCCAGTTACACACAAATTACTTTAGAGATGCATTACAACTCTACCATATGATACTATGATGGCTTAACTTCTTCAGCATACTTGCCCCTTTGGCAGTCTGTGTGTCAAGCTAACCTGGTGTCTCCATGTTCCACAAGGCTTGTGCACATTTGCAGAAGCAGAGGGGAAGGAAATCCAATAAGCTTGTTTTCCCCATCCATCTTTTCAGCCGGAGAGACAGCACCATTTCATGTGGCAGTTATAATGCTGTATTTCACCAACAGAAAAGGATACTTCATTTTGCTCCAAGGCCACTGCAGCAGGTTCAGCAACAGCAGCAAGACTTTATCTGGAAAAGTGTGTGTTGACAGAGGCCTCAGCAGTTTTCTTTCTCTTCACCTCCCCATACTTCTTTCATTTACAGGAGAGGGGAAGTGATGGGGACAGATGAGATGGCAGTTACTTAGGATCTGGGTGACTGACATTTGGCTACATCAGTTATGGTAGTAGATAGCAATGGCCCAAGGCTAGGTGAAAAAATGTTTACTGCTCTACTACCAATAGGAGTGTCTACCTTTGTAACAAAGACTTAAAGTGCCATCTGAATGGGATGGCCCCAGTGTTCTTCTGGCAGTGGAAGGGAATAAGACTAGGTACACTACCCATTGGAAATTTTGGCAGTTTATTCAACAGAACAGTGGAAGTCTTTCCTAAGTCTACCTGACAGACAGAATGACATTTCTTGATATTACTAAGAAGCCCACAAAACATTTATTTCTACAATTAAAAGGCCAGGGCATATTGTTTGAACAACTTTACGCAGCTGCCCAAAGATAGACCTTAGAGGTTGGTATGTGGTTTTAAAGTTCTGGCAGGGACTATGTTTTACAGAGCACTGGGCATGGCATTTTTTGTTAGACCTCAAATGAAGCTCTAACATAGCTAGCAACACATTACATGTGTCTTGTGCGCTCTCTGGCTTTATATATATACACACCACATTCGGGTCAGTGGTAGTGGCATTACAGAATCATAAATATTTAGGTTGGAAGAGACAAGGGTCTCCTGATAGAGCCCAACTATCTACCTAACACTGCAAAGTCCACCATTAAACCACATCCCTAAGCAGCGTGCAAGTACCATTTCAGTTAGATCTTAGGGTCAGAGCTCTTCATGCTTCCTTCTTCATGTTTGGTTTCCACATGCTCACAACCAACAATAAGCCTCTTCAGCTTACCAAGAAGAAACTTGCTACTGAGCATGAGTCTCTCTACTTCTGTCTACCAGCCTCAAAAAGGCCTTCACATTGGTAGGTATGAGATCTGTACTTTATATCCATAACCCCCAGAAGTCAAAGCAGGAAGTAACGTTTGGATTCCTTTAGTTCTCCATCCACCACCACGCAAAAGCCCTGGATCAACTCCAACTTTACTTGTTTAGTTACCACAAGAAATACCTTAAGAGTCTTCCCTTTGACATTAATTCACCCTCCAGAAGGCACGGCATCAAAATTATTGTGGCCCTCTAACTAGTCTAAGCACTTCTACAGCAGTAATATTGTTTTAAAAGTACATTTTCAGCAGCATAGAACTACTACTTAACAGGCTTTTCTTCCTATCAAGATGTGTCACAGCACGTTAGCACCAACAAACAGAATGAGAACACAGCAAGTATCATGTAGCATATACATTATCAAAAGTCACTGGCAATTAAGACTTCACTGTTTTGGAAGAACAGTGTGTGAAAGTCTCAGGAGAATTGTCTATGTGAACTGTAAGCACTCAGAATAGACACAGCAAATTTTCCATAAGGAAATCATGCTCCTTAAAACTTACATGTATTAGCAACAGAAAATTGCCAAGGAGAACTGCTGGGATAGCATGAAATTTTGGCCTCAGTTGGGAATGCAATGTATGAGAAGAAATAAGCGGTGCATCCAGTAGAGGATCATCTTCCAGACTCTGTGTTATTTCCAAGGAACCCTGGAACAGAAGGGAAGGGCAAAGAATAATAACAGGTAAGCTCTAAAGTGAAGTGCAAAGTTTTAGCAATTTCCTGTTAGCAAATCAAGCTTTAATGGAAAAAGAACTGGGTTAGTATCTTCAGACACGCTCTTAAATTCTAGGTGAACTCTCATCACATCTTTATGTAACCCAGCCCCTGAGGAATCTGACACTGATCTAGCTGCCAACATCACACCCAGCCTTCAGGAACTTTAGTCTTTAAAATGTATTAAACAAGTATTTGAGCATCACTCAGAGAGGCCATAAGTATTAGGATGTTTACATGAAAAGGTGGAAGAAGTGACAATTAAAGTCTCTCACATACTTTATGCAGGTACTGCAAAAACCCTTGTTATTCTTACTTCCATCCAACTACAGTTAGAGGCAGTAAAAGAGACAGCTGCACCATACCAGTAGGAGCTTCAAGTGATTCAGCCACTGACACTACTGACATGTCAAAAGACCTGCAGCAGTAGTTCAAACTGAACCCATGCAAGAAAGAAACAGCAGTTCACAGAAGGAAGATGCTACCAAGTGCTGGGCAAGACAGTCTCTGCTTTCACTAGAGAGCATGAAGCCTTTACTTGTCATGTTGGCACCAAATATCGCAGCTTTGACTTCACATCCAGCTCAGTTGTTTGGACTACGTAAGTTTCAAGAAGTACCTTTCACATAAAAAAATGTAAGAGGTAAAAATTAAGTATGGGTGGAAGGAAAAACCTTTCCTTGCGGTCAAGGAACTTACCCCATTGCTATGCATCCCTACTCCTTCCAGGCCAGGACACAGTCATTCAGTACACCTTAAGTTGAACATATGCAGCCATTATGAATACTCAAACTGCTCAAGTTCCCCTGTTAGCATCCTATTATGTCCTATGACTAGACCTATGACTTGCTTGCCTCAAAAGATAAGCAACTCAAAATTCCCAATCAAGTTTTGGCTGCTTGTCTCCTGAGTGATACCAACCACAGCCCAGAATAACAAGACAAGGGCAGACCCCACTCCAGATTTCTCACTATTCAGAGACACATGCCAGGGTTCACTGGGATATTTACTGTTTTTAAACTGAGGAATTCTTGCCATGACACAGCAGTATAAGCCTCAAGACAAATGAGGCATGTCATTCTTCTAGATGCTAGCACAAGAAAAGAGAGATAAAGAAGGTTTTGGATTAGACCTAGGTTTATACTTCATATTAACTGGGCCAATGTAGATCGATTCCCTGGTGTTATTTCACCTACAGACAGCTGCCTACAACAAAGGAACTAGTCATCAAGGCTTATTTCAGTCAGCAATCAGTTTTATTTTAGTATTGTGAATGCCACACTTTTGCAGCCATAGAAAAGAGTGTACAGACCTCCCTCACCTATTTGATAACTAGCCTAGCCTTTGACCGTAAACAACTCTCACTGAAATACCTGCCTGGTAAGATGAACTTTTACTGCAGACCTGAAGTTTTACAAATGGCACTCCTCTTAAATCACCGATATAAAATCCAGGACGAGTACAAAGATGCCCTCTGTCCCTCATCCCCCATTTTTAGGGGCCAGGTATAATTTTAAGCTCTGCAAGTAAGCATGCAGGACCAGCACTCCAGCAGCCAAGACACCTTGCCTCATTCCTCCAGCACAGCATTAATAGCAGAGTTAACAGCTCACACCTCCCACAAAGGCAGCAATCCTCCTCAGGACAACATCCTTTATCTCATGAGAACAGCTGAACTCATTGCTTCTGCAATACCGTGACAGATCAGCGCACTCCTTCACAGACAGAGCTTTATCAGAATATGTTTGGACACATTACTTACTGCGAGACCGGCTACAATCCATCTTCACATCCTGAAATACAGCTAGTGTTAGGAAGCACTGGGTGCCATAACCTGCCCAAGTAGATATTATTACAGGCAACATGGGGAGGAGGGGAATTAAAGCAAGAGAGACTAGGATGCCATGCAGTCAACCCAGCATTAAGAAAAATCTGGTAAGTGCCCGAATTAGATCAAACACAGGTTTCATTTAATTAAGATGAGCCAAAGCCACAGCTGTTAAAAGCCAAAGCACCATAAAAGTGGACCCTCTCTTAGGCACTGATGTTACCACATGCACAGGTTAAGGCTTCAGCTTCTTGGCTCTCTGATCCATTCCCGGCATGTGACCACCTCCGCGGCAGCCCAGCACCAGGAGGAGAGCAGACAGAGCCACAGCCAGCAAGCCTTGCCCGCGCAGGCTTCCAGATGGGGAGGAGAAGTGGGAAATACCCAAACAAACAGAAAAACGCCGTGGTCATGTAAACCAGAAATTACACTGACAGGATCTGTCGGGAGCGAAGGGGAGGTGGGGGAGTAACCCAGAAGAACTAAAGGAGCTACGCGACCAGCCTCGGTTAAATGAATAACCTCGATTAAAAACAACCCCGCGCCCCAATTACTGGCGGGTATTTCAGGCGCGGCGGGGGAGGAGCCGCGCTCCACAGGCAGCCCGGCCAGGCAGCGGCCTCGGCGGCCTCCTG